ACAAAAGTACGTATTTTTTATGAAAATTTTAATTTCTTGACCAGCCAAGTTGGATTTTGGCTCCGTTCTTTGAAAAGCAGGCTTGGATTTTATAGAATAGAACATGCTTAATCCATGCGTGAAGGACAAACCTGGTTAATATTCACAAAAGTAGGTATTTTCATGGAAATGTGATTTTTCCATGTTGCCGAACTGAATTTTAGCTCCTATCTTTGAAAAATAGGCTTGTATTTTATAGAGTAGAACATGCTGAATCCATACGTAATGGTTGAATTTTTAAATTTTTTAGAAAACCGAGTTTACAAAAGTACGTAGGTTCATAGAAACCTTGATTTTCTGTTCTGCCAAATTGAATTTCGGTTACGATCTTTGAAAATAGACTTGGATTTCATAGAATGGACCTTGCTGAATTTAAACGTGATGGCACATTTTTTGAAGCATGCACAATTGTTTAGAAAAGTGGGTTCAAATTATCAAAAGTAGGTTTATTCATAGAAATTTGCGTTTCCTGTTCAGCCAAGTTGAATTTCAGCGGCGCCGGTGGTGTGGTGGTAAGCGTGATTGCCTCTCATCCCAGCTGGCCTGGGTTCAATCCCAGTCGGCGCCACTGGGATGTTCTGAGGCGTAACATCTTTGATCACGCCTTCCTTCAGAAGGGAAGTAAAGCCGTTGATCCCCGGTTCATGAGTTGATGGATCGATATGTAGGGTCCAGGTGTGGGAGCTGCCTCCCTGGCGTCGGTAGCATTGGTGCTCAGCATGGAAAACAAGTTCGATGGAAAAAAAAAATCAAGGAAAAAAGGTTGAATTTCGGCTCCTTCCATTGAACATAGACTGGATTTTATAGAATTTCTGAATCCATACGTATTTTCGTACGTTTATAGATTTTATAGAATTGACCTTGCTGAATCCATACGTGAAGGTTGAACCTGGATAATATTCACAAAAGTACGTATTTTCATAGAAATTTGATTTTTCTGTTCTGCCGAACCGAATTTCTGCTCACATCTTTGAAAAATAGGCTTGTATTTTATAGAATGGACCTTGCTGAATCCATACGTGAAGGTTGAATCGGGTTTTGTATTTCGAAAAGTATATTTTTTATATAAATTTCGGTTTCCTATTTCAGCTAAGTTGGATTTTGATGCGGACCATTTGAAAGTTATGTTTGGATTTTATAGAATGGACCTTGCTGAATTCATACGTGATTTTTTTTAAGCATACACAAAGCCAGGTTGAAATTGACAAAACTATGTATTTTTATTAAAAATATGGTTTTTATGTTCAGCCAAGATTGATTTTGACTCCTTCCGTTAAATATTAGGATTGAATTTGGTTGAATAGACCTTCCTGAATCCATACGTCTAGTACGCACAATTGTTGAGAAAACTGGGTTAAATTCACAAAGTAGGTATTTTCATATCGATTTGGGTTTCCTGTTCTGCCATATTATATTTGAATAAGGAGGATCTATCGAAAACAGAACGTTTTTTTTTTCGATAAGAACTATTACGTTTGTGGTATTCCGATGGATGGTTTACCCGGAATTTATCAAAACCCAAAATCAGTTGCTTTGATCCTATTGATCTACATTATTACCAATGTTCTGAAAGGAAACAAAAGCTTATGCGTGAAATGTCTTGTTGACAGAAGAAAAACTTGTGATTTGTTCCGGCCTAATTGGATCACATTTAAACTCTTGGTCCTGTATAACGCCTAAAGGTATGTAACGTTTCATATAAAACAGCTGCTGCGAATATTTTACTTCTATTGTTGACTGGTTCAATAAAATGAACGAAATAATTTATATCGTAATTACACAAGAAGGATCACTGAATGATTCTTCTTGCTGAAGACATTCATTTTAAGATGCATTGAACCATATTTTATGGGTGGACAAATATTAGATACGATGTGTGCAATAATAGAATTACAATGCAAATGATGCGTGCAACAATTGGGTTCTGAGGCGCATTTAAAAAAAAACTTACTGCAAGGAAAGCTTTTATGAATATACACTGATTATTAGCTGTAGAAATGCTTCATTAATCGCATTGAAAGGTTTCTTGAGGAATTTCTACTTCAAAAACTCGTATAAACGCGAAATAACAAAAGGTACATTAAAGGGTGATACGGTCAATATTTGGTCAAGGGAAAACGCGTGTAAATCGGTGAAATCGTTTATTTAAAAAATCAAATTAAATTTCTTTTTCAAGTTCAATTAGTATAAAATTCAGGAAAAATATTCAGTTAGGCTTCCGCTTTTCCAAATCCGAATTGCCGGGCCTTACGCTTGACCCCTGCCATCAGATTTTGTACAGCCACCTTCTACGCCGCAGAAAGCCAGTTTGCCTTGAACTGCTGCTCGCCCTTAGCAGTTTTTTTGGTCTTCTTTAGGTTCCGCTTGACAATAGCCCAGTATTTCTCAATTGGGCGGAGCTCTGGCGTGTTGGGAGGGTTCTTGTCCTTGGGAACCACCTGCACGTTGTTGGCGGCGTACCACTCCATGGCCTTTTTACCGTAATGGCAAGATGTCAAATCCGGCCAAAACAGTACGGAACAACCGTGTTTCTTCAGGAAAGGCAGCAGACGTTTATTCAAACACTTTTCACGTAAATTTCTTGGTTGACAGTCCCGGAAGCTATGAAAATGCTGCTTTTTACAGATGGCTTGCCAAACCAGATATTTCTTTGCGAACTTTGACAGTTTCATGTGCTTGAAAACATTTGCTACCTTTCCCCTTCCTTTTGCCGTATAAAACTCCTGTCCCGGAAGCTGCTTGTAGTCGGCTTTGACGTAGGTTTCGTCGTCCATTACCACGCAGTCAAACTTCGTCAGCATCGTCGTGTACAGCCTCCGGGATCGCGCTTTGGCCGTCGTATTTTGTTTATCATCGCGATTTGGAGTCACTACCTTCTTGTAAGTCGATAGTCCGGCTCGTTTTTTGGCTCGATGCACGGTTGTAGACGATACACCCAGCTTATTTGCGGCATCTCGGAGAGAGAGGTTAGGGTTTCGCTTGAAACTACTTTGTCGTCTCAGCGGCTTCCGGTTTTCGATTTCCCCCCGATCCAGACTTCCTAGCTGTCGACAAACGTTCCCCAAACACTTTAATTACATTTGTAACGGTTGATTTGGCAACTTTTAGCGATTTTGCCAACTTTGCGTGCGAGTAGCTCGGATTTTCGCGATGCGCGAGCAAAATTTTGATACGCTGCTCTTCTTGCTTGGACGGCATTTTGACAACTGAAGAGTGAATTCCAAAATCAAAATAGGAGCAACATTCTACACACACACACCTTCAAAATGAGGGGTGTTCAGGTTTTTTAAATGCAAAATTGAAAGAAATACGTCAAGTTGATATTGACCAAATTTTGACCGTATCACCCTTTATGATCCTATCCTTCAAAAGATAGAATCGAAAAAATACCATATCAGAAACCGTCAAAAGTGTGCCCTTTGTAAACTGAGGGGAGTATCCTATTTGGTATAATAACCATTTGACATACATTCGATTTTTATATATTACTGCATTTTCATCCTGATCTGTTTTTCAAAAACATGAAAAAACAGCTCATGCTTAAAAGAAGGGAGAATACCCATTTTCATTATTATTTTGTCTTCTATTGATCATGAGCTCTTCTTTCATATTCAGTTGAAGTACAGCCCATGATATAAAAAAAGGCCAGAGAACTGTGTATCGATGTAAAGAAATGTGTTTCCGCTAGTATGCCAAATGGTTATTTTGAAATATTTTGATCCGAATTTCGATAGTACAGAGATTAGACCTTTTTTTTCTAAGCCGAGATCTCGAACAAAAAAAGTCCAACTCCGATTCGTGAAAATTGTATTGAGATCTACGAGATCCTGATTTTTTATAGATTTGTGAGTCATTGTTACTGTTCATGATTCCAAAGATACAGGAAAAAATGCTATAAAATATAATTTTGTTGACCACAGAAATCTTGAGAAATGCCACAGATTGTATAGTTAATTTCGTACGAATTTTAAATTTTCTGAATTTTCACAATCGCCGCCATCTTCTTTGCAGAACATGTCAAAATTAATTAAAAAAAACAGCGAATTAACGTTTTAAATAAGATCCTTCACGCTGAAAATGAAAAAACTACAGGCTACCATCTATTCATAATTTATAATATATCATAAGTTTCTAATTCTATGAAAGTGTTGTATTTACATTATTTACATGCAGTCTTCTACCCACCGTCTATTCTAACATATGTGGAAATGTTTAGGCTTTGTTTTAAAAATGATTGGTTGCACACAAAAATATTTTACAGATTTTAAGGAATTTGAACCACTTTGTAGTAAATCGAATAAACCGAAAAGGAAATCTCACAAATGCCTCAAATGTAAATTTCTAGTCGAAAGGTAGTTGGAAATGAAAAGCTGCTGGAAATCCGCCAAAAGACTGCAATCATAGGCAAGTGCTTCCTATTAGTACTAAAGTCAGTTAACCCTCACTATTTTTTTTTTAATTTCACTACGCGCTACCTATTGCCTAATAGGAGATGATGATCTAGTACCAACCTTTGCTGCTGTGCCGATCGAATATGTATACATTGCCAATTAGTGTCAAGTCTTTTCGCTAGCGCACTTATTCTACGTTTGTTTCTGGTCGCGAAGGTTCTCTCAATTCGATAGAGTACGGAGCTACGTTTACACAAGCACGAGGAAGACATACTACATTCACAAGTAGGAAAATACAGTCACGATTTCTTCACGGAAGATTGCATTAAGCCACTGGATGTACTGGATAGGTCCGAGGAGGTCCACGAAACCCATTATCACGTAGGGAAGCTGAGCTGTCTTTTGTGAGTTACACATACACTTAACACGTGGGATTACTTTACAATTTTGTTTCTAGCATATTGGTACTAAGAACAGACAAACAGACTCAGTGAGGGAGACGACTGTTGTGTTTTTGGTATTGCGCTTATCTACTACAACAGAGAGACTACACGGAGTATACTTATTAACCATGGACATCGGCTTCGACTTGGTCAAACATAAAGATTCTTTCATCCCAGCGCTGTAAAAAAGAAAAGAACAGAACAATACGAAATGCGAAATACAAAAAATCATACACGAGGGCGTTGTATATTGCTTGCTGTTTAAAACTAAACCTATCCTAAGTTGCATTGAATTTCGATTCCTTTTTTTTATTTTTTTGGTGGTCGAAAATCAGGTACTAGAAGTTGCAATGATTGCACGGTGTTTGGTAATATTGTGATGGCAGTGCAACAGGATTCCCATTAGAGCGTATATAGACTAAGTAGCTTGTCAGGTGTAAAGTTTTTGCGAGTGCTGTTTCGACTCGCTTAAATCGCTTAAAAGGTGATTGGCGTGATTCTAAAAATTCTTTGTACAGAAGAAGCAAGTTCAGCCGGAGCTTAGCTGGAAGAGTTGAAGAATGCTTTGTTAATAACCGAGTAGATCATCCGGACACCTATCACCACTGGATAGTTGAGATGCATTGTTGTTACTATTCAAGGGTTTTCTCTTAGAGAAGTTGAAGTTGAACGAAAACATGTCAAACGGTGTGAATAAATATGCCATATAAATGTCAGAAACCAGTAAAAAGCAGTTAGAATATTGGAATGAGCTAGTCTAATGAAACCAAGAAAAGGAACTTAAATGAATTGCAAAAATGCTAATGAAACGCGTAAGACAAGACAAACATTCATGCAAGCCGTTGTTAGAAAAGGAACTGTAAATGAAAATGATTACCAAAACGGAAAAAAATGGTGCTAAAACTACTCGCTACGCATGAACACACAATCCAATTTTAAAGCTTCAGCGTTGCTCCCAGACAGTATTCTGGATTGGAGTAGACCGTACTGTTGCTGGCCGGATTGTAGGCTTCCCGGTTGCCCCAACGGATAATCCTCTTCCAGAATGTGACCAGCCCGATCCCCTTTTTGCCACTGTCCCCTTTACTACCACCACCCCGCGTCGACCGTTTGTAGTCTCCGTCGAAATCACTATGTACAGGCACCGTCCCGAAGAAGTACCGACGGGTCTCGTCACACCGTATGCTACTGTTGCTAGTGGAACATACAAAATTAATGCTTTTCGTGCTAGTACTACTGTTATCACTAAGACCGGCAGCAGTGCATTCCTCTAGTACCGAGGCGGTGCGCTCAAGCAATGTGATGTTCGTCGGATGGATGATGGAACTAGTACAACAACAATCATAGCAAAAACAACAAGAACAAGTACGGATCGGTTTGCTTACGGTTGAGAGTGACGTTTCCTGGGTGTCCTGCATCGCCTGCCGTCGGTGGTTGGCCAGTTTCACCTTGTTGATGGGGGCGCCTGACGTAGCCGAAATTCAAACGGTTTCCATGGGTATGGGATGATTGCGCGCGGCGAGCCGGTATGCGTGAGGGTGGATTTGAAATTTCGAGGAATTCCCAAGGACGGTATCAAATTTTACCCATAAATTTGATTGCAGTTTTTTAGTTGTGTGTGTGGGTGTGTGTGGGAACGGTCAGAAAAGGATGAGAAAAAGACGATAAAGATAATTTAGATATGTGGATTTCGGAATACATGACGAACGAACGAACGAAGGCATACACGACGTGCTGGTTGTTGAGAGTACGAATTGAAAGGTAGTACTAGAATAGGATAAAACTGATCAATACTGAACAAAATTTGTTTTCATGGGAAGCACATGTAACGCATGTGCGACATTTCGTGGAAGTCTATTTTGTGATATACCGTGAAGTGCCATAATTATACGCGGCACCTAATTCCACGCATTTCACCAAAACTTTGAAGTAGGGGAAATGGATGTAATGTTGGGCTTAATGCCCCTAATTTGGCCCCGTACATAAATTCAGCAATCGACTAAATTTTCAATAGCGACCAAAAATATCCATTAGTACCGTCCCAATGACGCGTTCATCTAGATAAATTTAATAAATCTAGATAGAGCTGGAATTAGGGCAAAACAGCTTTTGTAAGCAATGAATTCTATCGATGATTTCTGGGAACTCAAGGCACCCCAAATCAAAATACTGATGTTCGGTCACGAGAAGTGCTGTAAATTCTCAAAATCAGTTGAGCATTTTTGATGAAAATGAGAAAAGTAGCTATTCGCTATCAAAGGGAACCTCCTCCGAATGGGTGGTATCAGTTGCTTAGTCATTTGACGAAGGCATGGATCATTCTCATTTGAGAAACGCTATATATCATTCAATTGAGTGTAACCTACACACAAACGGAGCTCTGGTTGACATTCCGGCAAAAAAGCGAAGCCAACCCGACTCCAACCTGACTTCTATCAAACCCCAACCCGATGTTGACCCGACATAAACTTAAAATTGACCCGGCAACAACACGACATTGGGTCGACATTGACCTTAAATTAGCCTTACATTGATCCGACATCGGGTCGACTTGTCTGTTCGGGACCATTTTGCTGGATTTCTTCCATACTCCACTGTCGTATATCAAATTATACTGAGTGACTCAATTGACAGTGACAATGAGCTTCGAATGGGAAAGGGGCTCTTCAAATTATGGTCATGTGAGAATTCGTTTACACAGAATTGATTGAATGGTTGTATTGGTTCATCTTCAATCGAATGATATAAAAATTTAAAGCACTGGTCACAAGACTAAAAAAAAACTGCAAATGCTCTAATTTCCGTTAAACATAATATTAACGAATTGACTCTAGGTTCATCAGTACTTGTTTAAAAAAATAAAATTTGAAAAACATGAATTGCTGTAAAAAATATTTAAAGTTTACTGCAAAAAACTATCAAAGTTACCCCGTTTTACGGTACCATTTTTCTATTTCGCGGAATGCTTTAACACTCCGAATACGGTGGGTAAAATACTTTACGCCGACTACGAAGCCTTCGAAAAACGTGTAACAGCAAGTTTGCAATGATATAACTTTCTTGATGAATTTCCAAAATTGTGGTACCTCTAGAATTCCTAGGCTCTGTAGATTATTTTAATTGCAGAAAAATTAAAAATAGGGTCGTCAAAAGCGAAAAGAGTCGTTACACGTTTTTTTAAAGGTGTGTTTTTGGGTTTTGCAAGCGGTTTAAGAACCATCATTTAGATTAATGGGCACAAATGTTCATAACTAGCCAGAATACAGTCATGGTTCCTATACATGGAACCTGGAGATAACGGAACGGTCCTCGAAAGATCCGGAACATCCGTAAAAGTGGACTATCCATAAACCTGATCATAGAACTCTGTGTTTTTTTTTTCGAAAACATTTGGAAATGTGATATAAGAAAAAATTTGCGTTCAGGAACATCCGTAAAAGTGTTCAATCTATGAATCTGATCCTAGAGCTCCAGGTTTTTTTTTTCGAAAACACTTGGGACTGGCATATATAAATTAATTAAGGGTCGTGACATAAACATGTACCTAAAAGGCCATGGGACCGTCCTCCGGAAGATTTGGAACATTCTTAAAAATGGTCAATCCATGAAACTGATCTTAGACCTCCGTTTTTTTTCGAAAGCATTTTAAATTGTGATATAATAAAGAATTTTGCGTCATGACATAAACATGGACAAAGATGGCCATGAGGCCGTCCTCTGGTAGGTCCGGAACATCAGTAAAAGAGGTCAACCAATGAATCTGATCCTAGAGCTTCCCAATTTTTTTTTTCATAAACATTAGCAGCTGTGATATAAGAAATAATTTGGGGTCATGGCATAAACATGTACCTGCACGGCCATGGGATCGTCGTCTGGAATACCTGTAACATCCAGAACATGTGGAACTGTGATATCCAGAACATGTGGAACTGTGATATAAGAAATAATTTGGGGTCGTAACATAAACATGGACCCGAATGACCATGAAACCGTCTTCAGGAAGATCCGTAAAAGTGGTGCATCGATGATACTGATTCTTGAACTTCGCAAATTTCTTGAAAACACTTCGAACTGTGAAGTTTTCGAAAAAAAAATCACGGTTTTTTCACAGTTTCATCTATGAAACACGGATGTTCCGGATCTTTCAAATGACGGTCCAATCGCCATCCAGGTTCATGTTTATGTCACGACCCCAAATTCATTCTTATAACACAGTTCCTAATCTTTTTAAATAAACTGCGGAGCTCTAGGATTAGTTTCAAGAATTTACCACTTTTAAGGATGTCCTAGATCTTCCAGAGGAAGATCTCATGTCCATTTTTTTCTTATATCACAGTTCCAAGAGATAAAAAGAAACTGCTGAGAAGTTTCATGGATGAACCAATTTTACCGATGATCCGAACCTTCCAAAGGACGGTTCCATAGCCAACCGGGTCCATATTTATGTCACGACCTCAAATTCTTTCTCATATTACAGTCCCACGTGTTTTCGAAAGAACTGCGAAGCTCTAGGATCAGTTTCATGGATGGACCACTTTAAAGGATCTTTCGGATCTTCCGGAGGAGGGTCTCATGGCCATCCGGGACCATGTTTATTTCATGACCCTAATTTTTTTCTTATATCACAGTTACATGGATGAATCACTTTTACGGATGTTCCGGATCAACCCAAAATTCTTTCTTATATCTCAGTTCCACGTGTTTTCGAAAAAATCGCGGAACTCTAGGATCAGTTTCATGAATAGACCACTTTTACGGATGTTCCGAATCTTCCGTAGGACCGTTCCGTTGTCTCCAGGATCCATATATAGGAACCATGACTGTATTTTGGCTAATTATGAACATTTTTACCCATTAATCTAATGTTTGGATACTAGGCCACTTGCTAAGCCTATAAACACTCCTTTAAAAAAAACGTGTAACGACTCTTTTGGCTTTTGGTTAAAGTAGACGACCCTATTTTTAATCTTTTTACAATCAAAATCATTTACAGATTCTAGGAATTCTAGAAGTACCACAATTTTGGAAATTCATCAAGAAATGACTAAGTTATGCCATTGCAAACTTGCCGTTACACGTTTTTCGGAGGCATCGTATTCGGAGTGTTAAAGGGTGTATTCAATAAAAATGGCACACACATGGATAGCTGTAACTTTTTATTATTATTATAATTATTATGCTAAAAAAATAAAATTTTCCAGAAAGTACTGAACAATATGCCATGATTCAAATGGCATTTAATCCAGAAAACAAAATGTTATCTTGTGACAAAAAACTACATTATCACGTAATTTACAGATAGCTTTGCTTAAATTTTACTTTAAGTTTAGAGTGGCCGTCTTACTCTGTCGTCCCCTATCTGTAGGCATCCGTCGCGAAAATTATTCTAGTTAGAGTATGTTTGTCCGACTGTCGGACACCGTTTTTAGGTTATGTCGAATGTTAAATTTTTTCACTGCTCATTATTTTGTGTTCTTGGTTGAAAATCTGAAATATTACATTACAAGCTAGGGTCCATAGAAGTCTTCCAAAAATTGAAGGTTATAAATCGGTCCAAAAACCACCGAGCAATTTCGTAAAACTGATCATTTGTAAATCATGCGTCTACTTTTCTGAGTGTAGTGTTCCACACAAAATATCTAACATTTATGAAAGACATGATCGTATTACCGTTGTACTTCTTTGATATAGTACGTCGATTGCGGTAATACAAAGGAACTACAATCATGTCTGTCGATGTTATAGAATCGCAAAATGTTTACCAGTACCTAATTCTAGTACTACCTTTCTTCCCTTCTTTCGATTTCATCAGTTAAAACAACACAAACTTGAACCCCTTTTACAAAGACAGCACAATTCACAAATACAAACAACCCAACACGCACTCGCACAGACACACATACACTCACACAGGGATGAATTCTCTAGCATGCAGTAGATAAAACACTGTTAGTCCTTCTCACGAGAGCTAGCATGAACGAATTACGAATGACGAGGTGTTCATAGATTTGTTAGCTACGTAAATCGTATCACTACACACGAGCGTTCTCTCAGTGACATTTATATCGACACATTTGTTTGGTTTTGTTTCAATTTGGAAAATGTTTTATTCTACATGTCTGGTCTAGTGTGTACACAAAAAAATAAAAAAATTAAATAAACGAAAGTAAATGGACGTTTCTAGTCTAAAACAATGTAAACAGAAAATAAGACTATCCTAAAAGTAGGGCAATACTCGAACATCAGACATTCACAAACAGGTAGGTTTATCTGCTTCGAATTTGTCACACAGCCAATATACCGCTATCTCTCTACTTACCGATGTAGCTCAGCAGGACCGGCAGGAACACGAGACCATGGGCGGCACCGTACAGCACAATGCCCAGATACATCCTAAAGTAGAACACCTGGAAGATCTGGCTCTGGGCGAACCCTAGCACCAGGATTCCCCCGAACTTGGTCAGCGTGATGCCGGAGAACACCGAGCTGCCCATTTTGGTCAGTGCATCGGCTGCCCGTTTCTCCCGGGTCTCCTCCAGCGAAACGGAGAAACTGTGCACCAGATGGGAGCAGAACTCCACACTGATGCCGACTGCCATCACCAGATTCACCAGCGAGACGGCATTCAGCGAGATGCTCCAGTGGTACATCAGCCCACCGATGTTGATGACAATCATCGTGATCGTTATGACGACCACCACCGACGAATGGATGTCGAAGCCCATCAGCAGGAATGTCACGATAAAGATGGCCAGTACCGAAATGCCCATGCTCTTGAGCGTGTCCGGCCACATGGTCAAATACTGTTCGTAGAACACGTAGAACACCGAATACGGGAATACTTCAACCTCTTGAATTTCCGCTTCACTTCGCCCTTCCAGCCGTAACTTGGCTTGGATGGTGCTGGTAATGTTGGCGGAAACTTTCCGAGCGGAACGCAACGCTTCGTAGTAATCGGACGACGTCTTCAGGATGGTGTGATATGCCATAAAGTAGGAAGCGCCAACCTCGCTGTTCTTACTGCTGGGTATCGATTTGAGGTTAACTGCGCTTCCATACGCTGCATGGCCGGCTTTAGCGCAATCTGCATCTGGGTTGTCCTGCAGGAAGAAGGATACGTATCGCTGGAAGCTCGGCTCGTTTGGTCGATTCCAAGAGGTCATGTTGATCGAACATTTTCCACAGGACTCTGGTTGTTGGGGGGGAAAAAATACCGCAATTAAGTTTTCTGTATGTAGGTAAATAATATTCTCGAAAATTTAGTTAGCACTTACGGTCATGAGGGCAGAACGATCCGTTAGGGTACTGCTTACAGCAGAAATCCGAGGCCACGGACCAATCGATGTAGTCGTCTAACCAGGATGCAGCTGGGCGTGAGATGTAAGTTTCCTCCGGACGTCTGCTAGCGATGTACACCTGGGTCGACAAGCTATCCAGATTACAGTGCTGTCCACCGCATATCAAATTCTGATCGTACGGTTGCGAATAGTTCAGTCCACTCTTCACAACAAAGTACATCGGTGGTCCAATGCTAAGATACTGACCGAGATAGCGGAAGTATTTGAGCACAAAGCTATCACCGGGCATGGAGAGTTCCTGATCCAAACCAATATCGATATGCGGAGCAACGGAAATGCTCCAGCATAGCCACCCGAAGAACACAACCATCACTCCCACGCGAATCGGTTTCTGCATGATGAAAGGCACATAGATGCTCTTGAAGAACTTGTACAGCAGACCTTCCTTGTTGGCATTGACTGGAACGTCCTTCTTGGAGCCTCGCAGGAAAAATAGCACATCATACCGATTGTCAGCTTGCCTAGCAGTATCCAGAGCCAGCAGACTCACGAAGCAGGTGATTTGTAGGAAAAAGTCAATCAGTAAGGCCATACCGGCGTACAAGGCGAAGGCACGAACAGCAGGCATATCGGAAAGGCCACCCAGGAAGAAACAACAGCTTTCACTGACCGCCGTCAATAGGATCGATGGTCCTACACGGCCCAGAATTCGTCCTATGTGTTCCGCGTGAGTTTCCGTTGGCTTTTTAGTGTCTCTCTGATGGGTCTGAACGAGAATGAAAATATTATCTACTCCGACAGCGAGAACCAAGAACGGGATGACTTCAACGATGATCAGCGTTGCCGGAAGTCCGATGTAGCCGAAGATACCCACAGAAGCTACCACTGAGGCCAGTACGATCACTACACCACCGAGGCCCAACGTGATCTTCGAATCGATCAACGCTCGATTCCACTGATTCACATGCCCCAGCGAAACAGCAATGTAGGCAAACATGATGATGTACGAAACAAGAATAGTCGAAACATCCGATTGGGATTCCCGTCGCAGTTCGTCTTCGATCGATCGCTCTGAGGTGAAGGCAATGCTCATGTTTGCCCGCGTCCAGTTCTTCATAAATGCCACGTAGCTCTCTTCCCAAGCCAGTGCAGCCGTCAGTTTACTTTTGTCATGGTAGTTCCTTACCAGGAAGGTCAATATCACGGCATTTGCATTCTCATATTTAGGTTTCACATCGGCTGACGATGGTTGCGGGATGCCACCGAGAGCAATAGCGGGATCCACCGGCCCACCATACGGAGCCAAACACAACGGATTGTACGGATTGCCAAAACATTGCATCAATCTGTCGAGGTAGGTTACCGAAAACCCTTGCGTGTCTTCATCTTCTTCCTCAAAAGTGTCAACGTCATCCTGGAAGTAACCCCACAGCGATTGCACTACACAATCTTCTGTCTCGGTGGGACCCCGGTAGTCCGCCGTAAGAGGTGCGAAGCAAATGTCCTGCAATCCAACCGTACTGTTGTTTTCCATGGTCGCTTCAATATTTTTGATCGATTGCTGCAGTTCGAACACATCCAACAGGAACTGTTTGTTGAAAACCGGTCCAAACACTATTGCACCGTTGGAAGTGTTGTGGACCACGTTGGAGAGGTTCTCCGCTTTGATGATGAGTTGCTCGATTCGGTAGAAGGGTTCAAAGTGTGAATCAAAGTATTCGCGCTCGACGCGGGACCGCGAGTTTGGCGATGCCCACAGCTCGACAGGGTTGGTGGTGATGTGCAGGAACTTGATACCGAATCCCATGGCCACGATGAACAGGAGACCTGCGATGGATAAAATAATGATACACATGTTCTAGACTAATCTGATAAAAGCATACCAAACAGCAGCACGATCCAGGGATGCTTGGCACAGGTGGTGCCCCAAATGGTGAAGAACTTCTCCAGCGCGGTTTCCGTCTTGGCACCCAATCGCTCGAAGTAACCGGCTTCGTCATCGTCGTCCCCGTTGATGGCACTCGGATGCGGGCGGAGTTCCTGTTCGCCATCCCATGTTGCACCTGTTGGCGTGTTCCGGAGGAAGGTACGTATTGTGTGTTAGTATTACGTTGATTCATAGTACACTTGAGTTACTTTTGCTGAAGAAGATAGACTGGGAGATTTGTGACTTCTTACGTGCAACATATTGAGCTACTTGAATCGAACATTCGTCTGTACAGCTATCTATAAACAACACGTTTAGGATGCATGTAAGAAGTTTGCATTTAGTACACAGAATACACAGGTATTATAAGACAGTTTGGGACATGCACTTCTACAGAATCAAAAAAAAAAATAAACACAAAATCACTACATAAGCAACATCCAAAAAAGTTAGCAACAGTGCAAACACAATATTCTAGGCTACGAAGCTAATTGCTATCTAGCAGCATCCAACAACTTTGACCTGTTACTGTTAGAAGGAAAAATAACATCGATTCGTCAGATGACGTGGAACTGGCTCCAATGACTTTGAACGTCGATTTTTTGCGGATTGAGACTCATTCAGGCAAGTCAATAGCAGCATCTGGTACATGAAGTTTGCTCTATCAGATGGCGTAGTAAGTTAACGTAGATGTGTTGTCATTCGGGAGAAATCGACGTTTTAAGGTGAATCGCTGTGACATCCTTATTCTCGGATCCACTTCGAAACTTTAAGTGCACAAATATTAGCTTTTACGACACGCGTAGCATTCAAATTGTTACTCCACGTTTGCTGCACTGCAGCATACATGAAGTAACAATTTCAGGTGAAATGGGGCACCGATTTTCAGGATTTGTGTAATTGAAAATTCGAAGTGGAAGTGCATGTATAGCCTACGTGGCGGCCATTTGTGGATTGTACAAGGAATCACCTTAAGTCATTGTTTACATATGGCACATTGACCCTTTTCACATGTTCGTCTAGAGGTTGAAAAAAGAACACGTTGTCATTAGCAGGGGCAACCATCAGCCAGTTTCATGTTTTTTTTTTTTTAAATTGAATATTAGGTACTTAAAAGTTGTCCGGTTTCATGCTTGAATTTTGAAAGAATATAATGGAATTCCTCAAGTAGCGTAAAACGAGATGTAGATGGTCATTAAGGCGATTTTCGTTTGTATTGAGTAGCTGTCAACAGTTCATTTTTCTGACAAACAATGCATTCTTCCACAATTAGGTTGGTATGTAAAATTGCAGGAATATTTATGGCTGTTGTTTGAAAAATTCATTTTAATAAATAGGTATTTCTCCTGATCTGATTTTGAAATAATTTAAAGACTTAAAGTGGACATTTTATACGGTAGATGGAGTTGTTAGTTCCGTTAGAGTACGTCAGTGTCTCTTTGAGATCTTTAAGTTGACGATGCCAGGAGCGTATAATATGTCCACTTTAAGACTGATATTTGACGTTAAGCATGTTATTCATTGCCTACATTTAGATGTCTTAGGTGTAAGAAGATGTTCGAAAAAAGCATATCGCTAATGTTGGATGTAGGGGGGATGTCAAGATAATAAATATTAAACCAGAAAATTCTTGAAATTGTAAATAACCTCCAACTGGATCAACAATGGGTTATTTGCCTCTGAGAACTGATCGTTCACAGTACAAATTTTTCGTTTTACAGCAGCCGGCATCAGGTAAGATCACCAGAAACACGTTAATGTCACTCGATAAGTATTGATGATACAAAAATAGATCGCCATGGGAGATGCATTTGCGCCAGTGTCATCTCGTTAAATATGCTAATATATCGACCGACATCCTAAGATCTAACGTATTTTTACTAAAGCTTTCAACTACGCAAGCAACAAATATTAACACACTACAAACAGTTAGCATCCATTAGACAGAAGACATAAAGCGATAAAAGTAAGAGACGGTAGCAAAATGAGCGTTGATTTTCACGCATGATGATGAGAGTGAGTCTACTTTTTTTTGCCTAATGAGAAGATGACGATGAGTTAACGCTTTCGGTAAATGAAACGGAAACGTGACACACTTCGTTACATCTAGCCAACAAATGCTATTCGAATGATGCCTACATGACGACGAGTGGCAACCACGAGAGAGAGGAGCCGGTTCTTTGTAGTACAATTTACAACTTTGCACGTGCGACAATGTGATTTGTGGGATGGGAGTGAGTAAATTAGTGTTTAGATTTTCCCAAGATGAATACCGGGTGAATAATGATGCCTAGAACAAGCGCGTTGAATCATGCGGTGATGCATTGTGCGGTGATTGGTCGATTAACCTGGTTTACAAAGAGGGATGTGAAACTTGCGTTGTTTGTGTATGTGTTCAACAGGTGGGTGTGGAAACGTGATGAGTTTTTTTTTTTAAATACCAGCAAAAGCATTACAACGATAAACGTGATAACACATCAACAGAAAGGACACAATTTGGAAAAAAAACTAACTAAATCAAATAAACGGAAAATCGACAGTTAGAAGTGCGTGTACAACAACGGAATCAAAACAAAACAAAACCTACTGGATCTCTTCGATTGTAGGGGCGAATCTTCGCGATCGGTGCCCAAGTCGCCACTGTTAGATAGTCCTTCGGCCAAACGGCGACCCACGGTCGAGCGCAGGTCCGAGTGCAATGTGTCACCAGGCACCAGTAGTTCTGTGTGTTTTGGAGTGTGGTTTATAAATTAAAATACATGAATGATGAATGGCCAATTTCGCACAATTGGATTTTGTTTTCATTTTGGCGAGCAATTTTGCACCAAAAGATCATCCAAAACGGTATGGCACAAACCAAAAAAAAAAAGAGAAAAAGAGAAAATGATCAGATTGTTTATAATTAAATGATGATCGATGATATTGAATGAATCAATGAGACCAATTTGAAGGATAAAAGTCAGTCAGGATTAGTCACACCGTGAGACCAAGATACCAATTTCCAAGTGTTGCCGCTGTTCCTGTTGACCCTAACCCTGAAGTATGCCTGTGTAAGTGTGGTGTAAGTGGGATGCTCAGAAAATGCACTTTTGCTCGTGTTTATATTGACTGACGGACGGACGGAAGGAGGAGGAGGAGGAGGAAGATCCGCAGACAATTTACCTACATAGCAGCCGCAGCGTAGCAGCCAGCGCCAGTGTGTACAGCTGGGAGGAGGAATGGATTGGCTCTCCACGGTCAGATTGTTAGGGAAACAATAATGAATCGGCGATGAAACGAGATTTTAATTGCACTATAATTAAAGCTAAACACACTCGCTGACGACGATGATCACGGAAAGGGGGGCACGCGCGAAAAAGAGATTTTGTTCGATTCGTTTGGAAATTTCCCTTTTTGCGAAATAGTACAAACTGTAGTCGATTGCAAGCAGTGCGACGAGGGTGCTATCTAATTTGATTGATTGCTGAAATCTCCAACTTTCGATCAGGTTCAATCAAACCGCATAGAAGAATCGTATAACTATAAATTTGTATAAAATTCGGGCCTATTTCAAATCACACATGCACACAAATTTCAGTTATACAGTGTATCTCAAAATTGAGTGTACAGATGTCCTTAAATTTTTGAAAAAACAGCTGTAAAAGTCCAATTTAAAGAGATACATTTCTGAATTTTCGGTTACTGAATCATCATACATTTATCAATTGTTGGTACAGTATTGGACTTATTTCGTTGCGTTTATTAAAAGTAAGAGGTATTTGAGAAAAACGCTTTTTTTCTTGAAATACTTTAATATCTAAAATACAATCACAGGGTTGTTACAAGATTTTCTAAATTTGATCCGCGAAATCCGCGATTTCTCAAAAGAAATCCACGACTTCAAATACTAATCCGCGGAAAAAAAAAACTGTTTTCATTGCCTAAAAATAGCATTTGTATACTACTACATGGCATGTCAACCCGCATAAACGCGAACCATAAATTGACCTTACCTAAAATGGTTAAAAATTGTTTATAATCCCTGCTAAACTTTAACTGAAATGGTTATGGAACTTTACATGAACGTTTAATGATAAAGTTTCAACCTTATGTATTATGGTTTTTTGGAACTGGACCTTACAAATAATGGGTTGTTAAGAACCATTACCGTTCCAAATTCTTGTTTTCTCCATACATTTTCGGAAAGAGAACTATATTAGAACCTTTTAACTTATGGTTTGAGAACTTTAATGGTAATGGTTATGGTAGTCAGTAAGGTCCACGAATGGTTTTGTAACATCGATCAACTTTATGTGGAATATATCGCGAATTGGTTGCCTGTAATTTACTGATTACCAATTCACGATATATTCCACGTAAAGTTGAGCGATAATACAAAACCATTAATGGACCTTACTGACTACCATAACCATTACCATTAATGTTCTCAAATCATAAGTAAAAACGTTCTTATATAGTTCTCTTTCTGAAAATGTATGGAGAAAACAAGAATTTGGAATGGTAATGGTTCTTAACAACCCATTATTTGTAAGGTCCAGTTCCAAAAAACCATAATACATAAGGTTGAAACTTTATCATTAAACGTTCATGTAAAGTTCCATAACCATTTCAGTTAAAGTTTAGCAGGGATTATAAACAATTTTTAACCATTTTAGGTAAGGTCAATTTATGGTTCGCCTTTACCGACTGAGCTAAAGGAGTATCGTTTGTAACTTTTGATTTTTTTAAAAGTTACATTGTATCATCTTCAGTTATTTACGTATAGTATAAATTCTGAGTAATTAGTAAACACAATAAAACACCATTACATTATGAGATTGGTCACGTCGCGTTCTGTATTTACACGGATATTCCTAGGGTTCTGTCCAATGGTGAGACATTTTCATGATATTTTTTTTTTATTTCTGATATGAACCTAGCACTTTTCGTTGTCAAATCATAACCAAATCGTATATATGTGACTTTGTTGATCATGCACGACTTATTACTATGTATACCGAAAATTATAGGTTTTTCAAATCGTCCAGGACATCAGTTGATTTGTTCTACTAGATCAAACAAGCCTGCAATAATGTCTGTAGTATCGGAAAATGTCCAATCAGATTCAAAGTGTCTATGTGGATCATGCATGATCTATTTCCGAGTAATCCAGATTTTCAAGGTTGTTCAAATCATCCTGGAGTTCAGATAATTTGATCTACTACATCAAGAGATTGGGACAATGTCTTTAGTATCGAAATATTTCCAGACAGATGCACAGAGTCTATGTGGATCTTGCATGAACTATTGCCATGTATACCATATTAGACTGATGCAAACTTTGAAATTTTCGCTCCACAGTGCTCAAACGGTTTCAAATCAGGTCCTGATTAGCCTCCCAAAATGTTAACTCATTTGGTAAGAAACTGACTTGGCACAAACTATTCGAAGTTTATATGGAAATTACTATGGGAAATCCAAACTTTTTGTTCATTATCTTCTACCCATTTTTCATATTGCTTTTTCGAAAATTTCTATAACTATTCTTACGGGAAATCTAAGCTACAACTTTGTGGAATATCGTTTTTCAGCCAAATGTAAAATTAAATTGTTATTAATTGTTTAAGAGATTGATAATCTTATGGCATGATCAAGCAGCTGTTCTGTGGGCAACACTGTATTCTGCAGTGTGACATAGTAGCCATGATATTTGTGCTCTATTCTACGCGCCATAAACATCAATGTTGCCTGCTGAACAGTTGATTGAGCATAATCATAAGACATCTGTGAAAATTTGCTACAATAACTGCTATCATTTTTAAAAGCATAGTGATGTGGTGAATTGTTAGATTGATATGAATAAAAACATAAGTTTTACCATAGTAATGCCCATATAAACTTGAAATGGTTTGTGCCAAGTCAGTTTCTTACTAAAGTAGTTCAAATTTTGGGAGGCTAAGCAGGACCCAATTTGGAACCGTTTAAGCACTGTGGAGCGAAAATTTCAAATTTTGCATCAGTCCAATACCATATGTTTTAAGTTCTCCAAATCGCTGTGGGCGTCATAGCCCAGTCAGTAAAGGCACGGTATTACCAAGCCGGAGGCGGTGGGTTCGATTCCCGGTCCGGTCGAGGGAATCTGGAAATTTTCTCGATTTCCCTGAGCATTGAGTATCATTGTGCTTGCCACACAATATTCGAATTCATTCATTGGTATTGGCATCGAAAGCTCTCAATTAATAACTGTGGAAGTGCATTTAGAACACTTAGCACGCAAAAAGCTAATATGCACTAAGCAATAAGCTTGAAATGTGAATAAGAAGAAGAAGACATCGTTTTGGAGTTCAGATGATTTTTTCTACTAGATCAACCATGACTGGGATAAAGTCTGTAGTATCGAAATATGTCCAAACAGATTCATAGTGTCTATATGGATAAATGATAATTTCCACGTATACCAGATGATCTAGGTTCTCCAAATCGTCCTGCAGTTCAGATAATTTGTTTTACTAGATCAACAAGGACTAGGATAATATCTGTAGTATCGAAATATCGATTTGGAAATCCTAGAACATTTGGCATACAAGGAAATAGGTTGACATGATCCACATATACACTGCAAATTTGTTTGGGCATATTTCGATACTACAGATATTGAATTAGTCTTGGGTGATCAAGTATCAAGTTTGGACATATTTCGATACTACAAACATTATTGCAGTCTTGGTTGATATAGTAGAACAAATCAACTGAACTCCAGGACGATTTGGAGAACCTAGAATATCCGGTATACATGGCAATTACTCGCATATATACGATTCGTTTATTATTCGACAACGAAAAATGCTATGTTCATATTGGGAAAAAAGGAAAATGTCTCACATTGGACAGACCTGAAGGAATTTCCGTGTAAATCCGGTGTGACTTATGGAATTGTGATCATTTCTTGATTATTTGCAGGGTGTTTGGTTTGAACCGGTAAAAAATTGAGAGCCAAATGAACAATTGATGACAGCAAAATAATCCGGGACGGAAAGATTACAATGAATTCCACGATTTTTGTGACAGTACATCAGTCCCTTCGCGATTTTCACGACATCATTTAATGTTTCCGCGAATTAGACTAAACTTCTTAAAACTTTGCTCATTTTTAGTCATAATAAAGATCATTAATATTCCACTATTTTTTTTTAAACTTCGTCCAATAGGTTGAAAATTGACCGTTTTACTAAAATAAATGTTACTTCATACAGGTTCTTCCAATGTAGTCCAAAACTATAGCGAAAATCCAATAAATATCTGTTTAACCACCAGCCAAGATTTTAAAAAAAATATATCTATTTCCAATGTTTCAAAAGAAAAAATCACTAGGGTGTACGCTCAATTTTGCGATACACTGTATATAAAGAGAAATTCAATTTTTATCAAACCACACTTTTTCCTATTCTTGAACACGCTTGATTTTTCAAGGAAATGTTTAATTGCCTTTTATAGCTTACATTTTTTCTAAGTAAGCCAGTAATAGAATATTTATTATAATGATATTGAAATGCATTTTAATTTCCTCAAATTTTCCATGATTTTTTTTGGCATGATCAGAACAAACAAAAATGATTTTTTTCAAAATTTGAATCCCAACAGAATTGTATCATAAGATTTTAAATCAACGCTGGTCCAATGAGCTTTTCAAATCTCTGAAGTTTATTGAACCCCGTTAAATGTTGATGCTTCTGTATAAATAAT